GTGGTACTGGATCTTGGTCAGCATATCCAAACTTCACATGCGTATCGATACGGCGATCCTAAAGATCAAATCAAGGGTCCAGTCTGCCATCAATCCGCTGGTAGCGAGCACCCTCAGCGCGGCAGTACCAAAAACCAAGCGCGCGACAGCAGAATCCGGCCCTGGGAAAACGCGCGTAGCAAATTGTCCCAGGCACTCCTCTCATCTCGCCTTTCCTATGTACCCGCTATAACGTACCTTCCAGAACTGCTTGCTAGCATCCTTTCCGCCCACTCTCTTCAGGATCTTAGCGCCACCGGGGTGCTCATCCACAAACGAGTCCATCTTGTATACATCGTTGTCGACTATTATGTACAGTCCCTTCTCGACTGTGTTGTGCTCGGCGACTTGCTTGGTGGTGAGAGACTCGGACATGGTGGGCTTATGGACGCGTTTCGGCGGTGGAGGCGGCGCGACGGCAACGGAGGGTTTGGTGGAGGTACGTCGGCGTTTGAAATGCGTGAGGAGGTCGCGACGGTCGCGTTTAGTTACGGGCTTTTGAGGGATTTTTCGGTGAAGGACTGGTGAGTATGGCTATGGTGATGCGATAAAAGTGATCACGGGCGGAGTCTGGGGTTGATCTAGTAGTAGCTCGGGTTGCGGCTCGGTCGTGGAATGCTATAATGTGGAGGTATGCCGAGGTTGATGAATTGCGCTAAAGCTGCGCGTGGTAAGCTGGGTTGCGGAGATTGTGATTGGTGCTGACACGTCATTCCTTCCTCCCTTATCGACCATCAATCTTCCAAGGCCGTTGTTCCTTCCCCAGGCCTGGAAATCACCTGGGTAGACATCGCGGCGGCGGTGAGCCTCGCAGGTAGTACCCATGGATTTCGCAAACTCTATCGCGACATGCTGCACCGTCCGTCAAAGCAGCAAGTGCCTCAAGCTGAATTAGCACACGTTATGTTTTGAAGAAGGTTCTATTGCGCTTCGTCTCAAGGCGCAGTTTCTTCCTGCTCAACCTTGGTACTGATCGGGCCGATACCAGTGGAATCGTATACTCGACACCATTCATTCGATCTCTGCGCTTAGTCGCTTGGTCTACCACTACAATAACATGCGATTAAAGGGGTACAGCGAATCACAGCGTATGAAGAGCAAAGCCGCAGAGTCCCTCTCATCTTCTCAGATGTAAAATGGGGACTAGGCAGAGACTGTGTCCGGAGTAAGGATTTTTCATACGCTTCTGCCTCTCTGAAGCTACTGGTATAATTTAAACCACATCACCTACCACTTACCTTTCCAAATAGCTTGTGTATCTCCCAAGCACGCGACAAGTCGACTGCACTATCCCTCAAGGACTGTATTCCTCAGTCATACGACATGATGTCAACGAAGCATACTGAAGCCCCTGTGCGCAACGCAGGGGTAGAATCACGCCTTCTTCAGCTACCCGGCGAGCTTCGCAACAAGATCTTCGAATACGCACTCACCATCGATGAAGGAATCTATTATCGCGAGGACAAACTGGGTGTGGGTTGGTTGTGTCTCCATCCTCAAACATTTGAAGAACACGTAGAAAGACTGAGCGAAATCCCCGCACCAGTAGGTCGTGTTCAAGAGTCAGATGATGATGACGCTCCCATGAGGAAGCGACGAAAAATTTCAGAGACGAATCTGACTACCAACAAGCCAGTGTCAGACACCAAGAGGACGATACACCAAGAGCCGGTCAGAGTGAATGGACATGTGGTCGCCAACCAGCTCCAGTTTGTCAACAAGAAGCTTCGAAGCGAGACCAAAGCGTTGGTCATTCGCCATAACGATATACACATCCGGGGTCCGCCGAACAACCTCACCAAATTCTTCAATAGCGTCGTGGGAAAGAGAAGACTATGGATCCAAAAGATCCACCAGAAAGTCACAGATTACCGCTTTGAGGATCTATATGGCCTCCAAATCGACGCAGAAATGCATCCCCGCTTTCTGATAGAGTGTCATAGCAGGAGCACTGAAGGCTGGGCGGAATTTTATTCTCTCGCTACTCGTGCAGCAAGTGGGACGCCGAACATTGTCTTCAGTTGGTAGTACCAAGAGCGCTTTTGTACGGGCAGATTGCCAAGATCATCAGAATGGACCCGCTACTAGCATGAGCTAGGGTGTTCTTCTAAGATCAAGATTTGGACAAGGTTGTGGTTTGGCCTCTTCGCGAAGAAGATGGCATTGAACAAAAAGAGTTGATGCCAGGCTTGCGAGATGGGGTCGAAGACTTGCTACCCGTGGCCAAAGACTGGTTTGAGCAGGGGTATTAGAGCCATGGAGATTGGACAGCATGCTTGCAGCATACAAAGGCGGACGGAGGAGTCGACAGCGCAGTTTTGGATCTAATAGCTGACGGACTACAATGACACGATTTCAGTTCTACAATGCTACGTTCCAAATGCAAATTGTTACAGTATGTACATGCGCTTCGACTCTACAGCCACCCCGTGAAGTGCATCTATGCCGCAGGGCTAGCAACCGAAGTTGTGAGCGGGCCGCTCTCAATGTACGTTCCCGAGAAGAACCAGTCTTCGGCACCCGTTCCATCGTTACCCTGGCGGGGCAGACGAAGAACACCAAGATGCCAGTCGGCACCGTTGGAAGAAGTGCTGGTGGAGAAAGGTCCAGCAGTCTTGGTGAGCGTGCTGTTGCCGGTAGAGTGCCAGAAGGTGACTTGGTTCTAAGGGATGGTGTTGAAAGTCAGTATGTGCTCAAGGTCATCTTATAAATGATTGCGACCTACGGAGGAGAAGTTGATCTCGTAAGCGACGTTATGCCACTCGTCGGCCTTGAGCTCGACCTTCCACTTGCTTTGGCCGCCCACCATCCATTGCCTGCATTGTAGTTAGCACAATCCCGGATTGAGTCGATGTATATGGGTCAGCTCACAAGTTGGTGTTGCTAGTGCCAGACTCTCCGTTGACCCAACCGTATTTCAGTTCCGTGAAATGGCTCTCGAAGAAACAGATCTGGTGTTCGTTCGTCGCACTCGGAACGTTGGTAGTAGACCTCTTGATCGAGAAATGGTAGTAAACCGTGCCTTGGTTGATAGCAGCCTTGGTCTGGGGGATGAGCTCTGTCCTCCACATGTCGCTGTTCCACTTGGCCGTGTTATCGATCGTGATCTTAGCACCTTGCTTGCTGCCAGTGTCGCCAGAGTTTTTGTAGCTTGGCGAGAGGTTTACGTATTTCGTGGTAGCGCCTGAACCGTGGATATAGTACTGGTAGTCTGGCAGAGAAAGAGGCGAACGTCAGCTGTGTTCGCTGTGTAGCTTGACTACAGCACTTACTGCCCACTTGATTTGCCCATGACCATTTGTCCAGATCGGAGGAAGTGGTCATGTCGTTGAAGCGACCATCCCACAGGATTGTGCCTATCTCTAGTCAATAACATGTAACATGCGATATGTGAGCTGACGAACCTGCGGACACGGCGCTCACGAGCGCGTTGATGATAGTTGCCTTTCCGAACATTTTGACGACTGAAAGTGAAAGGGTCCTTGTTTGGAGAGACTGCAACAATTGGTAGTTGAGATATTAGCATTCGAGGTCTTCACGATGCTATATAAAGACCGCCTCAAGCCAATGCCCAAAGTATTCGACCCGAATCTGGAGGCGAGGCGTCCATTTCGTGCTTAGAGCGCTGCACATCAATATCGGGGAAAAGGCACATGTCCGGCATTCTACATTGAGTATGTGCTCAATGTGCGCTGCGTGACCACTGTTCTCAATTAATCTATATGTTTTCGCCGCCTTTTCACATATAGTTGTGGATCTAGTAACGGCCAAGCGGTCCGGGACACATTGCGCCTTGTCTCAGCCAGACGCGGATATGGCGACCCGGTTTTTGTCACCGCGGTGGCGGCACATGGTTCGATGCCGGCGACTTAAGTCCATACAGGTACGAGATGATGGCGGGCTTGTTAATGGAGGAAGGCCGATCTGGCAGGGTGTCGAGATTAAGCTACATTAAGCCGAAGCCTACCCCACAATTAGAGCGAACTAGAAAGCTTCGAATGGCCAGCCTACCAGCCATGTCGCGATGTGATATGAACTTAAGGTATGTCGCTAAGTGTAACTGTTTCTTGAGATATGTGAATGGATACCTTTGGCATGACATTGGTTGCGGCGCGGGCGCACTTGCCGTGCCGCATCTTCCGAGATCTGCCAGGGGGACAGAGAAGAAGAACGTCAACGCCTCGATGCCTGTCACCGCAAGAAGTCTCGCAAGAAGAGGCTGTCAACCACACCGAAAGAGCTTTCCAGTCTTTCGGATCTCTTACTTGTATTCAGTTCCAAGGCTTTCCTACTAGTAGCTGGTTTCCTAACCACACCTGGGCACGATGCATCGACCGTCGATTATCGACATGCGTGCCTGACCCTACGCAGTCGCGGCAGTCTTAGGCTTCCTTACAGGCGAAGACTCTATCGTAGCTTCTGTCCCTTCGCGACGTCGCATGTACTGGTTTAATCTGGTACCAGGCTTTGACTGAGTTGCGAAGCTCAATAAAGTACTGCGCGGTGATGGCCGCTAGGAGAACCGCAGCAGCTGCGACCCAGGTGTAAGCGGAGATGAGACTTCCCGCTTGGGGAGAGGACGCTAAGGAAATGGCGCTGTCCTTTCGATGTTGATTTTCCGAGCTGCGCCTATGAGGGCTGGATGGAACGCGAGTCATGTCACCAGCCGTGGGGATTTCGAAGGACCGAGCAAGAGTGTCGCGGGAGAATCAACGAGACTGTTTCTGACATTTGAAAAAGACCTCAGAGTTGTTTGCAGCGCGAAGGGCTCCCGTTCATAGCATCGCCGTGTTGGCACTAGCCGCTCTGGGATTAGTGTCTGTTGGTCTCATGCCGTTGTGCACACGGTGGCCTTCTATCCCCACATGGAGTGAGGCACAGTAAAAACTACTCTACGATGGATGTCGTTCCTAATCGTGCCATGAGGTTCCACGCTTGCTGTCACACATCGACTGTTGATCATGAATGTTGAAAGATGCATCGTGCTACACAACGAAATACTGCGCCACGGTTGGGTCAGCTCAGGTCGCAGTCCAGAGTCTCTCGAAGCCAACTGCAAGACATGGTTCGACACCTTTGGCGATGATGCCGAGGCTGTTCGATCCCAGCTTTCGCCTGATCTTGTTCGGTTTCTCCAAGAAGCTCGAGTTATTGGTTATTCTGAAAGTGTAGTCGATCTATCCTTCTTCTACTGGCTACAAAATCTCGCTTCGCCAAACTTCATGTTTGAGCAAGCGGAAGATTGGTCAGACGATGGAGAAGATGGCAATCTTTTGGTTCTCTACGAGATGAACAACTTCTCGGGTCACTGGTGCGGACTGGTGTAAGTTGAATCAGACAGCCGCATACTGTCTTGATCCGGAATGTGCTAATCTTGTCGTACAGATATGATCAAGAAGCGAACCTCTGTATCTTGAGCCCAAGCATCCATGACGCAGATGAGGTCTTTGAACAGAAAGTGTGGTACCCATTGGAAACCGCTCTGGAGTTCTGGTTGGGCCAGATTCGGAAAGGGAAGATTGTTGCTGCGCCCAAAGCTATACACGAAAAATCTGGCAATGCGCGCTACGACCCTTGGGAGTTTATCCCGTACAGCAAATTCATGCTGGGAGAGAATGTGGAGGCTTTCAATCGTCTAGTAGAAACTATCGAAACTCGGATGCCTTCCACGGCCGAGCACGCAGAAGCTGAACAAGTTGTACATGGGCTGGTCGAAGAGAGCATACTTCAAAGCATGAGTCTTCCCCATAACTTCACCTATGATTTCCTCCGACAGGCACGACGCCCACGCTTCCGAAACATAGCCCCAGGTCTCGAAGTAACTACCTCCATATTCTCCGATCAGCCATTCTGTTCTTATTTCTCGTCTACCTCCGACCGGCCTCCTATCCTCCTATTTCGCTTCCATCCCAACACTGTCACTGGCGAAGAAATAGACAATCCATTCCTTGGATTCCACCGTATGAAAACCCATACTGCGGGCCTATACCTTCTCCCACATTGGGAGACGACAGCCGAGGACGAATGTAGGTTGATTTTACCTTTTGGTATTGGAGCAAATGGTTATGCAAGGAGGACTGATGGCAGCAAGTTTGGGGAAAAAGAGGATGGTGAAGACAGCCATGTAGATTTGTATCGTCCTGGATACCAGCCGCTTGAGGAGCCGCATGATCATAGTCTGGTCGATGTGTTGAAGAGCTGGACGGGTATGGTGGAGAGAGGCGATTGGCAAATTGATGAGAATGGAGTTGCAGGTGGAATGGATGTATGGAGAGAGGCGGATAGCAAGGATAAATGGGCCGCGTATGTGATTCCGAGGGCTGTACAGGGGGTAGAGAGGTAGATAGCTATGGTGAAGTATAAGAGCTTTCGGAGGTAGAGCAACTAAAGCAACACGAAGCTACAAACGCGCCCCGGAACCTTTCACCCTTCAAGCCTCAAGTAATGAACGCCTACGAGATAGCAAGCTGTAGAGGGAAACGGAGGTTCATACTATTCGGAAAAGGCTCTCGAAGTGGCGTAGCACCATTCGGAATTCTTTTTCGTCGTTGTCTTCGTTCTCTTCGTTCTCTTCGTTCTCCACTCGATATCCCGGACCTTCCCAGCAATCAGGATTCCACCATGCATCTTCCCAGAGATCTATAGCATGCTGCCAAATGATCTTGAGGCGCTGTCCCTGAGACGATGCGCTCTTGCTAATTTCATCCAAATAGCCCCTGTCGAATTCAACCTGAGCTGCCTTACAAACTCTCGGACCTCGCAAGATCTCAGTTTCTTGTCCATCTTGTGCAGGCTTCGGACGCCCAAGCTTAATATTGAAGCTGTTGTACTTGAAGTCCAGGCCCGCAGTCTCCGAGTAAAGTTGCCTGTTCACATATTTGAGCTTGTTGAACTCAACGTAGTGCTTCACGGGAGACGATGTTCCGAGGACATCGAGATTATCCGAGCGTCGCACAACCTGCTGGGGTGCTTCTGCCGAGTGAATGTAGAGCGGAGTTGGTGACGTGAGCACGAGCTCGTATATTTCTGGAACATAATAGTTAGCGCATGACCAGTGCACCATTCAACGTCGACGTAGGAACGATAAATCACTCCAGAGCTCTGACTTACTGTTTCGTAGTTCACCCGGGAGTTTGAGCAGGGGCGATTCCGTGAACATGTTGTTAAATTCGTCTGCTTGTCTGCTTGTACCGTACTTCTGCTGGGTAAACTATAGTGACGTCTTCGAGTCGAAATCAAGTACCCGTGCGGAATTTTGTAGAGGTTGAGTATGTGAAGACCTTGCTTGGAGAGAAAAGGAGCACTGGGTAGTGGGATGCTTAAAAGGGATGAGCCAGTAGAGACTCTAGGTGAAAAAGGGTTCAGTGCATTCAACTCATTCACGATACTATCGAGTGAGTGCTCTCTCGTACGTTGATATACCCTAGATCGCGCTTTGCCTCTCTTCTTCGAAGTGGTGTAGCCTCTCGTTGAGAACACTGTTGGTTGAGATCGCGTCGATCGCGAGTTTCACTCACGAGCGTTCATTATCTGCAGCCCTCTACTACTTTTATAAGGGCCTCCCCCCTCCTACAAGACGACCACATCACATCTCTTACTATTCCACAAGAACCCACGGATCCACCAATCACTCAACCCATACCAACGTAATCTGCTCCCCAAATCTTCTACCAACGCAGAAAGCATGCCAATTAGGTCGAACATGTTTTCAGATTTTATCTGGTCGTTTATGTCGAAACCGGAAGCTGTAAAACCAGCGACCAAGGAACGCCTCTTCCTTCTTCCTCCCGAGCTCCGGAACGTTATCTACGAATACGTCCTAACCACACCAGACGCAACGCTAGAGTACACAACAAACGACACCTCCGGCCACAAACAGCTCAATCAGCTACAGTATGTCAACAAACAGCTACACCAGGAGTGCGCACACCTTGAGTTGAAGTTCAATACTACCATCACGATCTCTAACCGGGCCGAAGACAAGACCACTGCCACCGAATAATTCTTTGCGCTTCTCGCATCTCTTCCAGAAGAGAAACACAAATGGCTCCGAACTGTGGCTCTGCAAAATGCCGGAGCTGATGTGAACGAGTACTTGACGCAAAGGAATCATCCAGGCAAAAGGGTCGTCACACAGATCGACAACCAAGTCAACATGTGTCGATTAGCGAAACTCTGCAGACAGATGCCATATATTACCGTGGACTTCGAATGGCCAATGTTCAGCGCCAAAGTTCTGAAGACAACCCCTAATAGACCTGTCGATCCTCTCATAGTAATCGCCCTTGGGGTTGCCTGTTCAGAGCTTCTCTTAGGTGACTCAAGGACCGAACTCTGGCCTATGGAACCGAACGCCAGACCAGTCATAGAAAAAGGGTTGGAGATCGTAAGAGGGTGGAACTTATTTGATATAAAGGGCGGGATGTCGCAACCATTATATGAGAGTTTACGGGCGGATAATTTGCACTTCTTCCCCATGGAAGATATCCTAGAATCGGAGGAAGTCTCCGTACGCACAGGAACTCACTTCAACGATAAAGGGGAAGATCTTTCGCCGATATGGAGAGCGGCGATAAGGAAGTGGGTAGCGGAGGGACTATAAGGGAATTTTTCGCTAGATCATGTCTACTTTGTAGACGAGATAACCCGCGAGAAGACGCAGATTCATGAGCAGTTACGTGCATTCATATACCTCATCCATGTAATTTGCATCGGTGATGCTGTCCTTTGAAGGTGACGACTGTAAACTCGCGATCGGCGTGCGTTCATAGCTGTTGATGTAGCCTCCACAGGGTCTTGTTTTTGTAGTAATATTTGACTTGTTCGCATGCGTAGGAGGTTAGGCGACTGGTTCATGATTCGTCGTTCACAATTCTTCTTTGTTTCATCGGCACCCATGATGTTTGTCGTGTGCAAGTGGATGAAAGAGGTGGACGAGATGAAAGCAGCCGCGGCCAGCGCACGGGCCCGCAGTTGCCTCGGTGACATCACAAACAAGCTGCGCAGACTTTCCCAAGTCTGCCTATCGCCCATCACAGCGACCACACGAGCCAACCCACGCCTGTCTCACGTCCGCCCTACAACTGTCTCAGTCGCCGGCCCCGCTCAACCGTAAACTTAATCCCGCGACAAAAAAGGACCCCACCACATCGACATGGCTGACGCGCGCGGAGAGTACTGGTACTATGAAGATGGCGTCGACCCCAGCAAGATAACGGTCCCGGAACTGAGGAGCATCTTGCTGAGACATGGCGTCACATATCCGTCCTCGGCAAAGAAGCCCGCTCTGGTTGGCATGTTCGTCGACCTAGTCCTCCCTCAGAAGTCCAAAGTCCAGCGGATGCAGGCACACACGAAGCGCTCGACGCGGGGCATCGTAGACGTCCCCTCCAGTTCAGCCAGTACGGTCGAGACAGACGACGCCGAGGACGAAACCCTTATTGCGCCTACGCCTGCGAAGACACGACGCACTACCCGACGAACCACCCGCGAGCCAACAGAGGAGGCAGAGGTGCCGGCACCACGCGCCAAGACACCCGCGCGCGCTGTCCCTGCCAAACACAGCAGAGCGCTTGAGCCCGAGGTGGACGAGCGGCCCGCGGCTAGACGCACACGCAAGAGCGTCACTCCTGCACCCAAAGAGCCCACGCCTGAGCCTGAAGCATGGCATCGCAACGACGCTGCCAGTCCCTTCACCCAGGAAAACCCGTTCCAAAGCGGAAGCTCTCCTGCAGTACCAGATACCATATCGCGCGACCGGCGTAGGAGAACTACCGGATTTGGTCAGCAAGAACGGCGCAAGAGCGATGCGCACCGCCGGAGGACCGTCCAGCCCAAGGCTGAACAACTAGACGAGGGTATCATGGTACCTACACGTGGAACGTTTGATGTGGCAGACCCGCGTACACAGCACCAGGAAGACGATCTTGCAGATGCTGGCGAGGAATTCACTCCAGAAGAGCAACTTGAACTAGTGCGCGAGCGTGCTAAGGCTGGCGAGGTCGACATTCTGCCTCCACGTAGACGGAGGCAAAAGGGCAAAGCCACTGGTACGATCAAAGCAATGGCCGGAACTCTACTCCTCACAGCATCAGCCGCTTTCGCTGGCGTCTGGCGACAGGAAAAGATCGATGTTGGCTTTTGTGGCATCGGACGAGATGCTACTGGACTTGGTGGTATGGAGCTACCGAGCTGGGCAGATCAGCTCCTCCCGCAGTGTGAGCCCTGCCCACCACACGCGCAGTGTTTCCGCGGGTTGACTTTGAGGTGCGATCCCGATTTCATCATGAAGGACCATCCGCTGTCCCTCGGCGGCCTGGTTCCTCTCCCACCGACATGTGAGCCAGATAGCGAGAAGACACGGAAGGTGAATGGTATCGCGAACAAGGCAGTGGAGATTCTGCGACAACGCAAGGCCCAGTATGAGTGTGGGGAACCAGATGCGGCAGGAAATCCAGTGGACAGCCCTGAAGTCAGCGAAGGAGATCTGAAGCAGCAGATGGCTTCTCAAAAGAGCAAGAGCTTGACAGACCAGGAGTTCAGTGAGCTGTTCGACAGAGCCTTTCCTGAACTGACTATGCGAGAGGAGATAGTCGAAAGCACCGATGGGTAAGTACCTCCTTTCCAGTTCTCCAACCACTTGTGCAACATATCTGACGTGGAACTGTACTAATCAGTTACTCTTCCTTGGAAACAGAACAACAGGCGGACGACGTCTCGCATCCACCTCCCTCGCCAAGCTCTCCCTCTCCTGCAGCGTCCGAAGATCCCTCCGAGAATCTTTTGAACGACATCTTCTCCAAATTGTAACGATGCTCATTCTGATTGCCACTGGATCGTACGGAAAGTACGCATACACCAGTAACCGAGCAATGGAAGTTCGCGCGAAGCAACTAGCAAGCGACGCATACGATAGACTCCAGGACCAAGCCGCGTTGAGCTACTATGACCCTGGTGCGGAGAAGGGTATCAGTATGACACAACTGCGAGATGACGTCTTGAGGACTGAGTTCAACGCATCTCGCCGACAGAAGCTATGGACAAGGGTGCAGGCGAAGGTCGAAAAGAACAGCAACATCCGTGCAGGTGTCCGAGCCACAGCGAGCGGTGACGTTGCTCGCATGTGGGAATGGGTCGGCCCTGTGAAGCGCATCGACGACGGACGGAGCCCTGAGAAGCGCGAGAGTGGCAGGTTCAGTCTCGGCATGGGTAGCAGCCCACTGTCCGCATCCAAGGATACGAAGGAGGTCCAGAAGTGGGAGGAGGGACATCCGATTTACTAGTCGTTACGCTCGCAGCTTTCATTTGTTTCCCATCGCGGGTTTATGGGTCAAGGATGATATATGATTAGGGATCTGCACTTTATTTGGCACGCATGATACCACAATTCAATTCTTACTTCGACTGCACTTCATCGTTTCAACACACTCAATGACTAGTGAATATGTTTGGGGATGGTCTGGTGCGTGCCCTCGACATCTTGGCTGTGGCTGGTGAGTGGCGCAGGTCTCGGCTTACTAACCTAGCCGAAGCCCACACAACGCTAGCAATATCGGCCCAGCGCGAGCACAACACCTCCAGCAACACCGCCAACTTTTCGCTCATACTAACCACAGAGCAAAATCCGTCAAAATGGTGAGTGAAATTCTTGTTGCCAGAGACATTGCGAAGGACCACGACCGGTGCGACGAGCGAACGAATCCACGAATCTTCGATGACGATGGCGAGGCGAATTCTCCGACCCTGCGACATTCGACACGATGATACCCCATTAGAAGACCGAGATGTGGCGGAAGACACTTGATGCTGAGAGGGTTGGGATTGTACAACGTCTCTTACGAAGGGCTGTTGGGTGCGAAGGGACATGTGAGGACCTTGGCGTTGAAGAGGCGGCGACTCAACACGCACTCCATCATGGGTCCTTGGTATCGCGCCGTATCTGGACCCAGCTGTCGGGCGCAGTGTAGATGCTGGCATTTGATGGTGGCAACATCTCACCAGGATGATCTCAATCGCGACCTCCGCATCACCGCACATCCCTCGCCATCGCTTACGTCGGTCGCTCGCTTCGCATTCGTCGCCAGTACAGGAAATTGGGAATTTCAAAAGCATTGAGCCTGAATGCTGACTGTGACTTCCCAGGTCAACGTTCCCAAGACCCGCCGAACCTACTGCAAGGGCAAGAAGTGCATGAAGCACACCCAGCACAAGGTCACCCGTTAGTGATCCGCGTCCACACACTCGCATATCCGTATACTGAGACTGTGTAGAATACAAGGCAGGAAAGGCCTCTCTGTTCGCGCAGGGTAAGCGTCGTTATGACCGCAAGCAATCCGGTTACGGAGGTCAGACCAAGCCCGTCTTCCACAAGGTACGATCGCACGCATGCGAGCTCAAAAGATGAGTACTAACACCATGCAGAAAGCGAAGACCACCAAGAAGGTCGTTCTCCGTCTAGAGTGCACACAGTGCAAGACCAAGGCACAGGTAGGCTCCGCTCACATTCTTCCACCTTGCAATCGCTAACATACTCGTAGCTCGCCCTCAAGCGATGCAAGCACTTCGAGCTCGGTGGTGACAAGAAGACCAAGGGTGCCGCTCTCGTCTTCTAAGCGTGTACCTTCTTTCTCTCTCTTTTGCTGGGCTCTCGGCGTAGTCTTCGGGCGGATGGAATGGACGGCTCTACCTTCGACTCAAGCAATGCATCAATCATCAGTGCGATAAGAATGAAGGCGTGTGAGGCGGAAGATCTGGCGACAAAAGGTCACCAGCCACGAATTTACGGACTGTAACCTACATATGCATCAAATGGAGCTCGATTGAAGGGACCGCAAAACATTTCCACTTAACGCAGGTAGTGACAGCATAATCGGTGCCAAGTGATGACTTCTGGATGCAGCAGGTACAGCCGCGCGGATCGTTACTGACGGAGTCATTCCTAAGTAGTGGCTACCCCTCCACCCCACTAACGCGTCGCGTCCTATCTTGTCGATTGGGTCAGACGCTACTTCTCATGTGAGTCTCCATCATCCTCTGGATTCCCCTCACACAATGGCTGATACTAAGAAAAGTGTCCTCATTATTGGCGGCGGCGCAGTCGGTGCCATTGCAGCCGTCAACCTCGAATTCGGCGGTCTCGCAACGGTGACCGTGGTGCTGCGATCTAACTACAACGTCGTCAAAGACAAAGGATACACAATCGAGAGCTGCGATCATGGAAAATTGGACGAATGGAGACCTAGCGTTGGTACGTTGTAAACCTTATGAGCGATTCACCTGCCGATCCGCACCCAAAAAGCTAACACACCCAAGTCCGCAACACCATCCCCAACCTTACCGAAGAAGACCTCCCACCATACGACTACGTCATCCTCTGCACCAAAAACATCCCCGACGTCTCCCCCACCGCCGTCGACCTAATCACGCCAGCCCTCCCCCAAAACAGCAACAAAACCACTCTAATCCTCCTACAAAATGGCCTCAACATCGAAAAGCCATTCTTGCGCCCTCATCCCAGCATCCCCATCCTCTCCGGCATCTCCATGATCGGCAGCGCGGAACCCGCACCGGGCCACATCGTCCAAGACGAAGGCGACAGGCTGCTCATCGGCGCGTTTCCCACTTCCAACATCAATCCTGCTGTACCGGAGCGTCGGGCGGAGGAGTTTGTGGAGCTGTATGCGAAGGGTGGGAAGACGGATTGTCAGTACTCGCCTAATGTTTTGCATGATAGGTGGAAGAAGCTGGTGTTCAATGCCTGTTTGAACCCGATTTGCGCGATCACGGGATTGGATGATGGACGCCTGAGACTTGCGGATGGGGCGTTGGATGGACTTGTTCGACCGGCCATGCGGGAGATTGTTGCGGCTGCGAAGGCGGTTTGTGGGGTTGAGTTGGCGGAGGATGTGGTTGAGGAGACTATTCATATTGATCCGCTGGAGAGCTATTTGAAGCCGAGTATGCAGCAGGATGTGGAGAAGGTGAGTTTGGTTCCTGACTCCGGTGGTTCACGTGGGAAGAACTAGGTGCTAACGTTGATAGGGCAACTTCATCGAGTTTGAGAATCTGCTGGGCGAGCCGTTGAGAGCGGGAAAGGATGCTGGTGTTGCTATGCCGACGTTGGAGGTGCTATATCAGCTTGCGAAGGCGATTCAGTGGCGGATGAAAGAGAGCAGGGGGCTGGTAGATGTACCGAAGAAGAAGTAGCGCGGTCAAGCTGGTATGGTAGCTCTTGGTCTTGTACATGGTCTTATCAGCTACACATCCACTGTATCAAAGACGGATTATTAGAGCACTAGAGATTATGACACGAACTTGGAATGACTATCGAAGATGTGTAGTATTTCTTCGGAGCTTTTCAGTCTGTTGCTAGCATGCTGTCTCAGACAAAGAGAAAGCACCAATCCACCTCAAGTGATCGACCAACAGTAGCGTGACTCCTTTTGATACGAAAACCCAGGGCCAGGTATTATCATTGAGATAGCGGATCCTAGCAGAAGACCGAGAATGCGTTCAGGCCTTGTCGACTAGACGTGACACCCTCTGGGTCTCTGTCTAGATACCATGCTCCATCCACTCTCTCAAGTACTTGTTGCCGATCCACTGCTCTGCCTCTGGAATGACCTCGTCGTCCCTCGCGATCGTGTAATCCGCCTTGATGACCGGTACTGGAGTGTCTGTAGGCATGATGGGGAAGTATTTGAGGTTTTCAGCCTGGAGCCGCACCAACTCCACTTTGGGGCTTTTATAGTGATGGCCCTTTCGCCAACGTGTGGCGTATATTATTGCCATATCTTGATCAACTGCAACGTTAAAAAGATATTTGAAGATTTTGCCACGGAATGCGTAACTGAAGCATTGAGCCAGCGTGAAGAAAAATCCAATTCCGAAGTCGGACTGGTAAACCCATGAAGGCTTGTAGTACTTGACTTTCACATTAGGAATGCCGTTACAGAGTTGTGTGAGGCGTGCGACTGCGTCCGGGCTCTCCCCTATGAGGTTCAAGTCATCTACACTGTCGGGTCTGATGCTGATGGTCTTAATCCAAGACCTCTTTGTGATAGACACCGATGACACCCAGTCAATCAGCGCGTCAGACGGCAACGCGTCTTTCGAGCCTTCAGAGAATGTAATGTCGTTGAACTTGAGCTCCAGACCAGCAGTCTCTGCATACAACTGCTTGTTGGCGTACTTAAGTTGGTTGTAATCGACGGGACTCTTATCATCGCGAAGGTAGAAATATGGCTTCTTTCCGGCGGCGTCAGGCTTATGGTGATGCAGCGACCTTGAAGCGGTGAGCGTGAGTTCGTAGATCGTGTTACGAAGCTCGGCCGGTAGGCGCAGCAATGGCGAAGTACTGGCCATCGTGGTGCGATGGCCGTTGAGCCTTGTTTTCGGGGAAGCGAGGAATTTGAGTCGGGTCGTGGCTGTGGTTGACAAAAGAAGTGTTTCTTCAGACCCTCGGTTGACTAGCGGATGGTGGTTATTTGCTCTACGTTACCTAAACTGGAAGGAGGTACTCACCTTCAGTTACACTCCAGCAATGCAGCTCGTCTCGCGCCCAACTGGCCCGCACTCTCTCCAGGGCTGTGTAAATGCGTCCTACCTTCATTTTCCTCTACACGCCATTCACTTTTTGCATTCACCGGGGCTGACTTCAATTACACTTCCTCGAGTTTCGATTCAGTCCCGAAACTAGATCGGGGCACCTACTCGACCAGACTATGACCAACATACCGGCTTGTAACGCAAAGCTCATGTATGGGTACGACGGTGTCGTGATCAGCAAGCTGGCTTCTGTAACGTCACGTGCAAACTTAAAAACCAACTGCAGAGCTGCGTGAAGCGTGTCGTACGATTCCAAGATACGTAAAAGTGGTTAGAGTCCACAGCAGGTTTAGGGCTGAGTTGGTGTTGCGATATCTCGGCGAAATTCTTCAGCAGCCGATGGGGTGGAAACATGCATATTGACGAGACGAGGCAGTTCCACTCATCTCGATCAGGATGGGTTCGGCATGGCTATTCGATCGGAGAAGGCGACGCTGGTGGAAGCGTGACCATCCGAAGCAAGGCCGGAGGAGTTGGCGATTGGATAGTCATGGGTTCGCGTCGTGGGAGTGGAGGGGAGTTCCTGAAAGCAGAGCGGGCCATGGCCCTGCCGCTGCAAGGGCATGAAGATCTTTTATCGTAAAACCGGTAGAGGCGGAAGATCTTGGGCGCTGACAACGTCGCCATAGCAGGGTAAACCAGGTTTTAGTGGGCTGAGGAGCGGAACCGAGGTGGCGGTGCAGTTCGGCTCATGTCATGCTTGGCGAATGACGAGTGACGACGCTGTGAACCAACTGGGCTGCTGGCCACGACTGGCAAGAGTCAAGAATCTTCTTAACCTTCGCACGTGAACCACCCTACCCATCACCTGTCGCTCCTGTGACTCTTCCCTACGCCTCGCCCACCTCACCTGGCCACCCACCCAACAACAACCATTCTTGAGCGCTTTCGAGCGCGCGCGCCTAGGCTTGGAATCCACTCAGCCACGCTTTGCTGCTTAGTATCACCACCAGATCAGCACTTTTCAGCCGCCAAATCAGCCCACCGACAACCGGCAGCTTGATAACCTCAGGCATCAGCGACTCCCCAGGCCTGACTCTATTCACACAAACGCGCCTCACCAGGCTGAACACCAACAACACCTCGGCACAGCCAGCGCATAGCGTATACTGAAAATGGCGCTCAACGGAGTGCGCCGGAAAGATACGACCAAGGGGCCGCCTCTGCGCGTTCTGTCGTTAGGTATGTTGGTGATATGATGTAAGGCCTCAGTATGGCAGGTGCTAACCCATGTGACAGACGGCGGCGGTGTGCGGGGGTACTCCATGCTCATCATCCTCCAGGAATTGATGCACCGAACTTTTGTCGAAACCGAAGGCAGAGCCCCAAAACGTCACGAAGTACCCAAGCCATGCGAACACTTCGATCTCATTGTCGGCACCGGCACGGGAGGCTTGATCGCCATCATGCTGGGAAGGCTGAGAATGGACGTTGAGACTTGCAAGGACGTCTACGTGCGCATGACGAGGAGAGTCTTCGAGACCGACAAGACGTTTGCTGGCATACCATATCGGTCGACATTGTTCAAGGCGTCAAAGCTAGAGGAGGCCATTATGCAATGCGTGCGCGAACACACAATCTACGACGACGAGGGCAACGACAATCACAACGGGCAGGATGCACCGCCCATGACCCCCGGAAGCGCAATATCGGGCCGCATGCAAAGAAGCGCTAGTAATGCCAGCAACTACAGCCAGATTGGCATGACTCCCGTGAATATGCGCATAGCCGCCATGAAGTGGGGGAACCCTCACGCCCAGCTATATGACAACAGAGAAGAGCGCACTAAGACGTGAGTAAGACGCATGCCATTGACCTGCCACGTGCTAATCATCTGCAGCGCTATCACAGCTGTCTACAAGGGCACCAAAAAATCTGGCAACGGCCAGGTCCTCCTCCGCTCCTACGATTCCCGCAAAGAACCTCCGATCGAACCAAACGCCACGATATGGCAAGCCGGTCGAGCAACTTGCGCAACTGCCCTAGCATTCAAGCCAATCCAGATCGGCCAATCCGTTTTCCTCGATGAAGGCTCCGGCAAATACAACCCAGCGCCTATGGCCCTCGACGAAGCCGTTTGCAACGAATGGCCTGGGCGCGAAATTGGGGTTTTCATAAGCATAGGCACCGGAAAACGGCCAGAAGGCACAAACGCACAACAGCATCTGTGGTGGGAAGGCTTTGTTTCCGGCGGTATGGGCGACTTTGCAGAGGCGAGACGAAAATTGATCCAGAAGATTGAAGATTGCGAAAGGACACACAAGGAGATGAAGGACCACCTTGCGAAGAGACAAGTCAATCCCGAGAACTACTACCGCCTGAACGTCAACGTCGGGGTGGGAGAGTTCGGAATGAATGAGTGGAATGCGCTCGCGGAGATCAGCACGAATACACGCATGTACCTGGCGGACAAGGGAGTACAAGGCATGACACTTGACTCCGCTGCAAAGATTGCAAGGATACACTTCGCCAAGGTGCGATGGGAGCGCGCCGCCAAGGGAGAATCGCCATTCTCGCCAGGCGCTCAAGCACCGAATAAGCCTCTTCCCACCGTCCCGGATCCAGCGCCCATGGCAGTCGAACTACCAGCTGAGGAGCTCGCGCCAGAATACTACACAAACATACATCCCGCCTTCCGCCCTCCGCCAGAACCGCGCCGACCATCAGACAATGACAAGTTCCTGGTTGTGTCCTCAGACGAGTACCCACAATCAGCAGCCAGCACAGATGGATTTAGCGACTTCCATCCCCGGCACTCAGGCGAACTAGTATCGCCGGGGCGTCGCTCGGATGAGCAATTCTCAGCCGGGCGTCCAGTATCCTGGATGAGCTCTGCGCCTAGCTGGGATGACCGTCTATCCAACGCTCCACCTAGACCACCTAAGACACCTCTGCAGGATGGGCTTCACCCACCACCTCTTTCGGGTACACGCACATCACCCCCCGCTGGCTCTCACTTCGCAAGACCCCCTCCAGGTGCACCCCTCCCGTACCCGGATACTGACGGTCCGCCACCGATTGTCAACAAGGCGACGAAGCCGGATTACACACGGTAACCGAGTGCGAGGTCGATCTTCTTTTTGCATATATGCTTGAATGGTGTGTGGAGTCTTGCATGGCCTATCTCTACGAAGGAGCGCCCATATCACGATGTTTCACGGCTGATAGTTTGTTGAGAGAATAGTTTAGATACCCATCGAAGTTTTCTTTGTTTCGCTCAATGTCATGGACTTTTTGGATAGCTCATCGTCTTCCTATGCCTTGTCTCATATTTCCCAATGATCATAAAGATCGGTGAAGCCCATGTGTGCTGACCAGAATACATGCATGACCGAATCGCTTCGCTGCATCAACGTCGCCAACATGTCAATAACTGAAGCTCGAAACGATCAACCAAGCGTCCACTCAGATGTCTTCCTCAAGATCCTCGTCCTTGGGCTCGGGCTTGACTGGAGTAAGCTCCTCATCCTCATCACCGACAACCTCCTCGGTAACCTTCTTCTTGCGACCACGCTTGGCAGGAGTGGTTTCCCCCTCTCCATCAGCGGCATCGCCCTTGGCTTTGCGCTTACGCGGAGTGGGGGTCTTCTTGGGGGTATCCTCCTCAATGGGGTTGCCCGACATAAGAGCCTCCAACTCGTTCTTGAGGGTGTCTTTCATGCGACCCATCATGCGTTGACAGGCGATGACGGAACGGCCGGCGGGGCGGGGCGTGTTCTGTTTGTGGTGTTAGTTGGAAGAGGTGAGAAGGGAAGGTTCTAGATGGGGTTTACGCACGTTGTAATCGAATGTGATGTTGGATTTCTCGATGAGTGCGAAGAGGTAGGTAAGCTGTTGGTATTTTGTCAGCGCGTACATTGTGTGCATGGTAGGAGGGGACTTACACGCTCCTTGTCTGTCCAGGCAGTGAGGGCCTTGCCGCTGTTGGCGCCCGACATGATGAATCGGTTGACGAACGGTGCTGGAGTGTAATTAAGTGTGTTGATGGTGTTGCGCTGTGCGGTGGACAGAAGATGGTATGAAGTGCGTGGCAGTAGAAGTGAAGGAAGTAAAAGGTGGGAGATTGGCTTATGTGTGGAAGTAGCGCTGTTGTGACGGTGAGGATGAGCTTGGCATTGGCGGCTACCAGGTGAAGGTGAGTTCTGGTACACGAGGGCCATTTGGGGTTGGGAGATTACAACCCATCGGGAGGTGAGGGATTTAATCTGGTCAAGTGTGTCAATAAGGTACGTGATTTGATGCTGATTCAATTCGTTCAGTATGTCCGAGATGCCTGTGCCAACTGAAAGCTGAAGATGCAGCTAAGCAAGACTATCAGACTACCCAATGCATGCAGTGAACATATTCAGAATGCCAGACGCTGATGTGCGTAACAAAGCGCTCATGCTAGCCACATACGTTTGCGTGATAGTACCACTGTGGAGCCTTCAGATATCATCGGCCTCCTTCAGGATGTCGTCGTCATCCTCATCCTTGACCTCGGTCTTGACACCCTCACCCTCCATGTCTTCCTCGATCTCAGGAGTGGGAAGCTTCTTCTTAGTACGGCCACGACCCTTCTTGGGAGTGACCTCAGTCTCGTTGCCCTCCTCATCGACCTTGGCCTTGCGCTTGCGAGGAGTGGCCGCCTTCTTGGTGGGGGTGTTGGTAGGAGTGCCATCAGCGGCACCAGCAAGAGGAACTCCAGCCTTGATGGCGTCCATCTCGGGCTTCAACGCGACCTTGGTCTTGTTGATCTTCTGGCGGCAGCCGTTGACGTTGCGACCAGCGGGGACAGGAGCGTTCTATGGCACGTTAGTAAGAATTGATTTACACACCACTACTGGAAGTGAAAAACTTACGTTGTAGTCGAGTTGCACGCCGGTGGTATCGATGACGTTGAGGAGGTAGACAAGCTGGTAATTGTTAGCATCCATGAATCGCAGCTAAGTGAGTGCATCGCGGCAAACATACCACTTCGTGCTCAGTCCAACCCTGGGGGTTGGTCTGGCCAGACATTTTGTGTTCTTGTAGAATGTGGTGTTGGTTTAGTAGATTGTTTTTGGATTTGCAAGATGATGTAGTGAGAACGGCGAAGTAAAGAAGAAAAGCGGTGGACGAGGAAAAGGGTGAGGTGAGAGCGCAAGGAACGTTGATATCCGTAATGAGAAGACTGCCAAGCAGGGTAAAATTCGTCCTCACCGTGAGATTGCAAAGAGCAAACGTGGGACTTGGTCCATTGTGCGATGTGCAAGATTCGCGGTGAAGGTGGGTCGGCTGCTCACGGCAACGCGAGAGCTGCCTGGTAGATAGCGTATGCTGTATCAGCTATGCTGGATCGTTCTCAAAGAAGGGACATACCTAGACCATTGGCTTCTCGTACTGTCACGATGCAGTCCATGTGCATGCGACATACTCTCTCCGACGGGCAGCATACTTCGGTTGGTACCTAGAATCGAGAAGTAACAGCAAGCACTGTGCTGTATGAGAGCCATCAGATATCGCACATGCGCTTTAGCGTGTTCCAAAGTGTACTCCAAAGTGTGTCTTCTTTGGAATGATCAGACACAGATCAAGAGACGAAGTGGATGTGAGATGAAAGGACGAGTTCGAAGTGAAACCGATAAAATGACCAAAAAGACTTGCAGCTTCAATAAGCAACCCGTACGACACCTTAAGCACCCTATAAGAACTCAGTCCCAAGTGACCTTCCCACCGCCACAAAGAGACGATGCCAGTGATAACGTTTCTGCAAAACTCGTCTTCATCTAACATACCTTGGTAGATTGGTGCTTGGAGTGGGACTTGCTATGTCCCAATATCAATTTTTGCAAACAAGCACTCAACCCATACGCAACCTCAAGGCTGATACTTTACATCGTAGTCGATCGATCGACGTTGGACTCACCTGCGAAAAGATGACTTATCGCATCAGTCGAAACCAGAAAAGCACTCCATACCCAAAACAGGCAGTCAAACACGGCCACACACTAGCCAGCCCAGCCACCTCAACCACCAAGTCGTCCCGATTCGACCCGCTCCGACCATCTCGCATAGGCGTGCGAACCATTGAATCAGTGCGTACCGGTGGATGTGGGTCCGGGGTAGAAGCGGGCCCACCCGTGCGTCGATGAGCCACCGCATGCGGCACCGAGGCTGGCATGGGTCTGTGCCTACTATAGCTCGAGGGGTTTTGATAACGGCTCGCGTGGTTTACGGGATTGGTCGGGTTGATAAGAGGAAGTGTTCGAGGCGTGCTGATCGTCTTATCGTCTTACTGTATCTTTGTGAGATCAGACGGCGGATGAGGGCTCGGACAGTGAGGGGGTCCGCGTCGGGGGGGCTGTTGGGCGGTTCGGTTGTTCTCAACAGATACTCTCCTCGAGAGTTATGCTAGTTATCCGGTGTGACACTAGGGTGAACATAGAGACATTGATCATGGCCGCTTGAGGTCACAGCAAACGAAGTCGTGAAGAAAGCAGATATTGTGCATAACATAATGTATTGTCATTCCAGTGCGCTCATCGGCACCAGGTCGGAGGTATCTAGGTGTACTACAAGTTATCGTGAGAAGCGATTAGATGTAGTAGGGTATCGAAATCCGTCCATCCATCCCACAGAAAAGGAAATTTTGTGACCCATTGCCCAGTCTAAATGATATCAAGACCGAAAGAAGAAAAAGGGTAAACCTAAGTGGCTAACCCCGACGCCAAAAAACATGTCGACGAATTTTAAAGCTACAAGTGAGCAACACCGTTGGTGACCTCAGTGACACCGACGGTGGCGCCGTTCAGCTTTTCGCTTGCATAGAGCTGTTGGGAGACCTTCTTATCGAAGTACTTGGGCTCGGTGTATGGGTCGTACATGTTCTTCTTGATGTAGGCGTCGAGTTGCTCGTCGGTAAGACCGCGGAGTTCGGTGGCACGGTCAACACCGTTTTTCTGTGCAGCACGGATGACACCGCGGGTTACGATGACGGAGACTTCGCGGATGCGGCGGATGTCGGGGTACAGCCAGCCATCGGCGCGCTCTTGCTTGTTCAATGAAGTCGACAGTGATTCCGCAGAAGCGTAGATCATATCCTGGGTGACGGAGACAGCCTTGGAGATAATGGCACCAAGTCCGATACCAGGGAAGACATACATGTTGTTTCCTTGGCCGGGGGTGAGCATCTTGCCGTCGAACTCCATTGAAGGGAAAGGAGAACCGGAAGCGAACAGGCAGCGTCCCTCAGTGGCGATGACGGCCTCCTCGAATGTGCACTCGGATTTGCTTGAAGGGTTGGAGAGAGGGAAGATGATGGGGTGGTTGTTGAGCTTGGCCATCTTCTCAAGGATGTCCTTGTTGAAGGCACCGCCGATGGTCGACAGACCCATCAGGATAGTGGGTTGTACGTAGTCGATGAGGCGGCTGAGCGACTGGTATTGGCGGCCGTTGTTGTCGTCACGAGCAAAGAAGACCTTGTGCTCGGCCAGCTTGTCACCACGGTCCAGGGTAACGAGACCGTTTGAGTCGACGAACCAGAACTTGCGCTTGGCTTCGTCTTCTGTGAGGCCCTCCTTGATGAAGTACTCGACGATCTGCTTGGCAACACCAACACCGGCACTTCCAGCGCCAAGGAAGATAGCCTTGTGGTCTTTAGCAGGGACACCGGAAGCCTTCACAGCGTTGATGAATCCACCGACAATGACGGCACCAGTTCCTTGGACGTCGTCGTTGAACATGGCGTATTGGTCTTGGTAGCGTTCTAGAGCGGGGAAGGGGTTCTTGAAGTCCTCGAATTGGATAACGATGCTGTCACACGATCAGTTTCCCGAAAAAGATACGGAAGCAAAGTACGTACCTGGGCCACTTGTCGGTAAGGGCAGCCATGAGCTCGTCAAGGAATTCCTTCTCCTGCTCGGGAGTAACCTTGGGCATGCGAGATCCCATGTAGAGAGGGTCGTCGCGGAGAGCCTTGTTGCTTGTTCCGAGATCGAGAGTCAGGGGCAGGGTGCTGTCTGGCTTGATTCCAGCGCAGGCGGTGTATAGAGCGAGCTTTCCGACGGGAATACCCATGCCGTTTACACCAAGGTCACCAAGACCCAAGATACGGGATCCGTCTGTGAGGACAGTGATGTCGACCTGGTGAGGCCAGTTGTCGAGGATCTTGCGAAGGTTGCCGCGGTCGCTCCATGAGAGGTACATGCCCTCGGGTTGTGTCCAGATTTCGTGCCATCGTACGCAGGCCTCGCCGACGGTGGGGGTGTAGATGAGGGGAGTCAATTCCTGGGTATGTTAGTTTCTTGCCCTGGAAACACTACTTCATTCTCACATACCTTAATGTTCTCGCCTAGGAGACGGTAGAAAAGATGTGGGTTGGTGGCCTTGAGGTGGACGAGGTACTGGAACTTCTCAATGGGCGCCGTCTTCATAGCAAGGAGTCTGAGGCCTTTGTGATGTTAGTGATGATATTTGGATAGTCGGTGTTTGACATACATCGCTCGCTCTGGATGTCGTAGCTCTCGACGGCGGGGGGAGTGAGGCCGTATGTGCCCAGGGTCTTGCGGACGTCGGGCGTGTAGGACAGGTCGTAGTCACCGGAAGTGGTGCTCAGTTGGCGGGCCATGTTGGGGCGTGTGGCGGAGGGCATGGTGTCGTTTGCTATAGTGGCCATACAACGAACGAAGGAGGGTTTTTGGATTGAAGAACGGAGGCCTTGGGCGGGAGCCGTAACTTTTATAAGCGGTCTGAATCGCTGCATTGAAATGAGCTGAAACGACGCGTCGGCAATTGAAAAGGAATTAGGAAGACAGCCCGCCTGGGGCGCGGAGGATGGGGGGCTACATAACAAGCAGCCTATCGGAGGGGTCTAGGTTCCGCAACAGTCAGTCTGTGAGGAGATCCGTTCTCGCCGTCAAAGTGTGCCTGTAAAGGAAGCATGGACCAGCCCGTTGGTGACTTTTACGCGAGTCCCTTCCCCAAGTTTACTATCTTGCCGCGTGCACAACTGCAGCTTCACCACTACACTCAAAAGGAACTACACTGCATTCCAAAGCATTTCACCACCACTTGCGACTGTCTACAGTTTGTCTTCCAGAATTTTGCTCGAATCCTGAGGGATGCCGATGCTCGTCGTGTCACAGCCACAGCCACCGGGTAGCAGGGGTCATGACTGGACGTGCATACGAGTCGGGAGCAATCGGAACGCCCATATTTGCCTTGACGGAATGCCGTAGGATTCTTCCATGGGCTTCAATCTTCGTCCGCTCACCTTCTGTGCTATCTTGCTTTTGCCGGTACTCTGTCCTAGCTGGAAAGTAGCCCGAACGGCTCACACCCGCGCCCTCGTCTGTGGTATACCGCTGATTCCTTTTGGTCAACGACGGCATGCCTGTAGCCCAATATCGCGCTCGTTGCGAGGTCAGGCATCGAGGCATTTTATTTCCGCAGTCAATGCGCAGCGCCGCGTTGCAACAGCGTGCTTATTATTAATCGCGTTGATCTTACGGGAAGTGTCTCATAGCCGTTCGCCACATGGTACCTTGAAGTGCTGTCGCGTTACTCAGGTCAATAGCGGCCCCGACATTAGCCAGAAGCCATCATCGTCTACTCCTTCGCGGGTCCGCACCGGCTCCATCAAGGCACACCGCGACCCGACGAATTGCTAAGCACTATGAGCGGTGTGTCTTTGTACCGCAGACGGAGCCGCTGAGGGCAACTTTTTTTACGCACACGGTACACCCCTGACTGTTCGCTAACGGACCGTTGGTGCCATGCCAGGGGAAGCGCATGCAGCATCCGATTGCTTTCGGCCCATGTCTGCGACAAGAAGAATGGGCGCCTCGACAAGTAGTCGACTGTCTATATCCGTGATATCCGGATCGCATCTCAGCATCGGACGTCCGATTCAATGCACGTTTGATCTCCTTTGCGATATGGACGAGGTCTCAGACCCTATACTTGCAGATGCGACAGTGGATCACCCGCGCGGTTGTGTGGGGAAAGCTTGATGGCTTGGGTAAGGTAGCCGCCCTAGG